GAATTCCTGCTGGGAAGGGGCTCTTTGAATAAATGGCTACTGTCCTGTGAGGGAGTGATTCAGAACATGACTCCTGGTGCCCCCCCATCTAGCTTTCAGCTCTCTCTTGAGCCAGGAGCCTCAGACTCTTTCCACACAGTTCCATTCCCGTCCACCCTCCCTCTGCTGGAGCCCAAGGTGAGTGGCTGTAACTGATTTGGTGCTTTTTAAAACACATGCTTTCTCAGCAGGAAGCACACACCGGTAATACAGCCCTTGTTGCTTTCCGTGGGCTCCCATCCCACCCCCACGTGCCTCCACAGTTCCTACCAGGCTTGATTTGGCATCCTCTCTCTGTCCCTGGTTGTATTGGCTCTCTTCTAGCTGCTCTTCAGTTGGTTTTTCCTGATGTTTTGTTTTTGTTTTAGTTATAATTCCAGTTTGGTCCTGGGAGACAGTCTGTGTAGCTTCCAAGCACTTTGCCACCTTCTTCGTTATTTTTGGGAAATTATTTTAGTAATAGTTGGAGAGCTTGCTCAAATGGAGAAGAGAGTTCTTTAATATGACTTAGTAGTCTCAAGGGCTGTGATCACCAGAAAGAAATGGGACTAACCTGTCCTCATGGGTTCTGATGACTTCTCATGGGAGGAGGGTTTGGCAGTGAAGTCATGTCAGGATGGCAGAAAGTGGTATCAGAGTGAATATGAGAAAACCAAAGCAGTGATTAAAAGAATTTTTTTAAAAATTTATTTGAGAGAGAGAGAGAAAGGGAGAGGAGAGATAGATAGAAACATTGATGAGAGAGAGCAGCAGTTGGCTGCCTCCTGCTTGAGCCTTCTGTGTGGGGATTTGGCCAACAACCTGGACATGTACCCTGACCAGGAATCAAACTGGCAACCTCTTGGTTCATGGGTCAATGCTCAACCACACCAGCCTGGCTAGTATTTTTCTTTAAGTCAGTGGTTCCCTGCCACATCTCTGTAGACCAGTGCTGGCCCATGACAAAGCTTTCATAGGGAACATGGATGTTTTTATAAATTTAAGTGTGTTCAATGGAAAGGTCATCTTTTAGTCTTAGATTTTGCTCATCTATGTTTTTCGCATTAAAATGTAAATTTAATTTTTAGAGAAATATATATTTTTCAAATTTTATTTTTATTGATGGTAGAGAGGAAGCTAGGTAGAAACACCAATGAGAGAGAACATCAATTGACCACCTCCTGCATGACCCCCACTGGGGGTTGGGCCCACAACCTGGGTATGTGCCCTGACCGGGAATCAAACTGGCGACTTCTAGGTGCATGGGTCGGTGCTCAACCACTGAGCCACACCGGCCGGGCTAGAGAAATATTTTAAAAAATATGTTTAGGTTACGTGCGTATGCATTTAATTTTTTTTCTAGTGTATTGAGACATAATTGACATATATCACTGTATGAGTTTCAAGTGGTCCATGGCATGTACCTGTAGCAGGATTATTTCTACTATCAAAGTGCATTGTTAAAAAAAATAGATATGTGGACAGAAACACCACTCAGACTTGTTTAAACAGTGAAGGAGTTTTATTGGCCCATATAATTAGGAAGATCAAGGTGTGATGGCCTTCAAATAAATGAAATAGAGGTTTTAATTATGTTATCAGGACCCTCTCATCATGGCCTAGCTTGGTTCTCTTTCTGTGGGTCTTCTTTTAATGTAGATGGGCTTTCCTCCAAGTGGTAGTGATGGTGGTGGTAGAGGGAACCTTTGAGGAGGAAGACTTAGTGACTGCATCAGAATTATGTTATTCCAAAGAAAAGTGAGAACACTCTCCCAGAGACCTTCCACTCTTAGCCCTGTAAGTCATTCATTCTTTGTTAAATTAACTCTTTCCTTCATAGCCTTTATCACAAACTGTCCCATTTATTTGCTCACTTGATTGTTTTCCCTCCCCATCAGAAGCAGGAATGGTGCCTGTTTTGTTAATCATGTAATCTAGCAGGCACTCAGCAAATAGTAAGCCAACACGTATGTGAAATTCCAGGGAAAGACTCAGATCCTGCTCAAGCCACCTGTCATTATGTGGTTCTGAGGGCAGAGAACTAGGATTGATAGGATCTACCTGAACCTCATAGAATAGGGAAAGGATGGTTTCACACAGGAAATGGGGACACCATTAGCTAAAAAACTGGGGAAAGATGCTGAGCAAACAACAACAATACCTGTCCACCATTTGTGTTTTATGTTCTTCAACCATGGTTTAATATTTCACCCGGCTGCAGAGTCTGCTTGTAAGGATGCATGTTCTGCAGTACAGGAGGGTGCTTGGCTGAGGGGAAGGAGTGGGGCTGCAATGCATTCCCAGGCTCCACTCATGAGCTTCCTTTTTCCGGGAGGCACTCTGTTTTTGAATTTATGCAGAGGCTGCGTATGATCTCTGTGAACAGTGGCCCTTCTGGAGTATCTTTCTCTCCATCTAACCTGAATAGCTTATACTGAAGTAAGAATAGTAGGAGCAAAAGTATGAACTGGACATGTCTCTGCATGTGGATCCCACTGGCCAACTCGGTGTAGACTCTGCTTAGCCATGTCCTGCATATATTCTAACAGATAACTTGTCTTGGGGAAATTCTCTTTTCTCTCTCCCTATCCTCCATTTTTCTGTTGGTCAAGTTTCCCAAGAACGCATTTGGAACTTTCTGAATTTTAGGGTGGCTGAATGGTTATGTAGATAGTCAGCCTTCTTTCTGATATATCTACATTTTTTTGCATTTCTATTTGGATCAACCTGAGAATTCCACTTCATGAAGAAGAAGAAACTTCCTATATCCATCACTTGTCCTTCAGCGGAATAGATTTATCTGAAAGCTCAATCTCTTTGAGATTTGTTTTATATTTTGTCTGATTACAGATGTCTTTGAGGCAGTGAAATGCTCACTATTTAAAAAGAGGTGAGTGGGTTGAAGGGAAAGAAACTCACTCAGTCTGACTTATTTTAGGTTGCCAGGAATCTGTTCCACTGAAGGACAAGTGATAGATATAGGAAGTTTCTTCTTCTTCGTGAAGCAGAATGATCAGATTGATCAAAATAGAAATGCGAAAAAATGTTCCAGACATACAACTGAGCCTCTCTTTATGTGGAAGGTGATGTGGCAGCTCTTCTAGCCTCATTTATCTCTCTTTCTGGAACTGCTTAGTTTCTTCTCTGCTTCCCCCTGGACATTGTTTCCATTTATCTGATTTTCTTTGAACAAGGGCTTACTCTGTATATCCACCCATCAATCTACAGTTGGCCCAAATTGGCAACCGGTACTTAATCTACCCATTGGCTTCGCAGCGCAAGTCCACAGGAAGTCTGTACTGACACCACTTGGGGGAGCGTCAATGAAAAGATTTATAGGCCTCAGACATAGCTATTCTGAGTCAGTAGTATGAGGTCCCAGAATCTGTATTTAAGGAATGTTCCCCAGTAGGTATGTCCAGACCCCCTCCATCCTCACAGGGGAAAAGAAGGGACATGAGTGAATGATGGCATACGTGAGCACACCTTAGCATCTGTTTGTCCCTACGGGGCCCCTTTTCTTCTCCTCTTTGCCGTTCTGGGTTACTGATCCTCCTCTCCTAGGAGAAGAGATGGACATTCTAAAGCATTGAAAACAAATATTGAAGAATATAATAATTTTCATTAAAAGCAGCAGTATTGGCAACAAACCATTCTTAGTCCAGCTTGGTGGGTGGGCAGTCCATGTAGGCAAGGGGGGCTATCTGACCCTTATCAAATCAGTGCCAGTTTCCTGAGAAACACCTGAGGCCTTTAGAGCCATTGTGAGAGAGAGCTTTGAAAGCATTTGCAGCTGTGGCAGTAGCTGTACAAATAAACTCGCTACCTGGGCGGGTGGGGCATGACCTTGAGGTTTCAGGGCCTATCACTCTCGAACTAGCTCCAGTATGTATGTGTCTTGTGTTTCTTTGTTCAAAGTCTTTAGAGAGAATCTGGTCACTGGCCGCCTGTCAGGGGCGTACTCTGGAACTGTGGGTCAGAGCAGACTTTGAGAAGGGTATTAGTGATAAATGTATTACAAGCTTTCTTTTGGTTGGGTTCCAAAGTAGAGGATTGCGTGAATATTTGTAATTCCTTTTCATTTTGGTTATTTCCTATATAACAGAGGGATTATATTCCTAAATCAATTATAATGAAATTTTTGTATGTCAGAACTACAAATATAACTCCAATCTAATTTTATATGTGCAATAAATGCCCAGTACAGTATTCAAGATATTTAACAAGTGCTTTTATGGTAGACATTATCATTGTCTCTTCATAATTTAATAACTAAATGTATATAAGATATAAATAAAGTAAAATGGTTTATTATTTAATGTGCTTAAAATATACTATCACATGCCTTACCTTTTATTGTATACTGACATATGTAAAGGGTTATAGCAGTTGATTCTGAGATCTCTCTATAGTAATGGAGCTATCACTTTATTTCATACATTTGTCCACTGTAGAACTTCAGGGACAGTTGAAGACTTTATGTAGGTATTAATTACATAAAATATGCACAGATAAGAAAAACTTATAACCAACACTGAGCACAGAAAAACCAGATCTGTAGTATATTTCTGTGTAACAGGCAGGTGTATGGCACAAAGCAGTTGTGTGTTGAGCACATGAAGTATAGTATCAGTACCTTAGGGTTGGTTTAAGAACATATGTGTGATATATTCTTTTTATTTATTTGAAGATAAAAGGATATATTGTGAGAATTAAAGCAAACTCAGCACACAAAATGGTGAGAATTATAGTTTGGTGGTTAAAATATAACCTTTTACATCAGAACTTGGTTTAAAATTAAGCTCTGTGCTTGACAATTTCATGAACCATGATGAAAAATTAAAACCTATTTATAAAATGAAGCTAATAATACAAATCAGGTGGCAAAGTTGTGAGGATAGTGTTTTATATCTTTAATTATGAAAATCTTGGGTATCAAGGTAGTTTATCTGATTTTTAAGAATTATTTTTTTCTTTTCCAGATCCAATCCCTGTGTGGAACTTCTAAACATCTTTTATTAGTGGAAACATTGTTTTCTACAAAATGAATTCAGCGTCTTAATTTAAGCCAGCGTTTGTGTGGTTCTGACTCATCTGCTATGGTTTATGAGGCTTCAGATCTAAGGAGTACAGGGTCTTTTGTGATGACAATATGACTAATAGTAGAGGAAGATCTGTTACTAATAAAACAAGTGGTGGTCCAAGTAGTGGAGGAGATTTTGTAGACTGGACTTTAAGCTTAAATACAGTTCAATCTGATAACTTTTTAAACTTATTGTTGAGTATGGTTCCAGTAATTTACCAGAAAGCCCAGGATGACAGGCACAAAAAAGCAAATGGCATTTGGCAAGACGGATTATCAGCCGCAGCACAGACTTTCAGTACTCGATCTGAGCAACATTTGGAGTATCACAGTTACACAGAGCAGTCTTTTCATGGCAATAATGGGCACACACCGTCGAGCTATAGCCCGAAGTACGATGACTATGCCAACTACAATTACTGTGATGGAGCAGAGACTTCGGAAACGACGGCCATGTTGCAAGCTGAAGATAGATCTAGCGATGGTGATGAAGATGCCACTGTGGAAGCAAACCAGAAATTACCCAAGGAATCCAGCGGTGTCATGGCCCTGCAAATACTTGTGCCGTTTTTGCTGGCTGGCTTCGGAACAGTTTCTGCCGGCATGGTTTTAGATATAGTCCAGGTAGGTTTTCGCCTTTAACTTAACTGTCTTTGTTGTTCAAAGTGCTTTATGTAGGTTACTCATCTCAACCATTTACTTTCGATTTAAGTTTTCCCTTAGTAAAATGAACTGATGCTGACTTTGGTAGAGAATTTCCTCTTTGTAGGTGGTTTTTGTTTGTTTTCCTTTAGAAGTTCTGAGAGAAGAGTCTCATTCTGACCAGAAAGTAAGTCTTTATAAAGTATTACAATAATGAAATTACCCAAAAATGGCTTCAAACAATATAAAGTATTAAATAAAAGATAAAAAGTCTTCTCTACTCCTCATCACCAGCCCAAACTGTCTTTGCCTCCAGAGGTTACCTCGTTACGAGTTTGTGGTATATGCTTTCAGACTTTTTCTATGTATACATATATACATTTGTGCAGAGGTTTTTTTTCCTTCAAAAATAAAAATGAAATGCTATGTATATTTTTCTGCAACTTATTGTCATTGATTAATAATGACATCATGGACATCTTTCTAATTAGTAACAAAGATATTCTGCATTTTATTTTATTTTATTTTATTTTTTTGACTTCTTTTTTTTTTTTATTTATTTATTTATTTATTTATTTATTTTTTTGTTACAGATATTTTACCTTTTTACCCCATTGGCACCCCCCACCCCACCCCCCCTCCACCCTGTCCCCGGCTTAGTTGTCCATGTCCATTGGTCATGCATACATGCATATAAGTTCTGTGGTTTATCTCTTCCCACCCCCCACCCCCCATCCCCTCTTCTGAGGGATGTCAGTCTGTGCCCTACTTCCATGTGTCTGGGTCTACTGTATTCCTCAGACTGTTATGTTCATTATATTCCGTATATAAGTGAGATCATGTGGTATTTGTCTTTTTCTGCTTGGCTTCTTTCACTTAGGATAATACTTTCCAGGTCCCTCCATGTCGTCTCAAAGGATAAGAGATCTTTCTTTCTTACCGCTGCATAGTATTCCATTGTGTATATGTACCACAGCTTTTTGATCCATTCGTCTACTGGTGGACACTTGGGCTGTTTCCAGATCTTAGCTATTGTAAATAGTGCTGCTATGAACATGGGGGTACATATATTCTTCCTGATTGGTGTTTCAGGCTTCTTAGGGTATATTCCCAGCAGTGGGATCACTGGGTCGAATGGAAGTTCAATTTTTAATTTTTTGAGGTAGCACCATATTGTTTTCCATAGCGGCTGCACCAGTCTGCATTCCCACCAGCAGTGTATTAGAGTCCCCTTTTCTCCACATCCTCGCCAACACTTGTTGTTTGATGATTTGTTGATGGCGGCCATTCTGACAGGTGTGAGGTGATACCTCATAGTTGTTTTAATTTGCATCTCTCTGATGATTAGTGATGTTGAGCATTTCTTCATATGTCTCTTGGCCATTTGTATGTCCTGTTTGGAGAGGTGTCTATTCAGCTCCTCTGCCCATTTTTTAATTGGGTTCTTTGTCTTCCTTTTGTGGAGTTGTATGAGCACTCTGTATATACTGGAAATTAACCCCTTATCTGATACATCATTGGCAATGATGTTCTCCCATACAGTGGGTTGCCTTTCCATTTTGATGATTGTTTCTTTTGCTGTGCAGAAGCTTTTTAGTTTGATGTAGTCCCATGTGTTCATTTTCTCCTTTATTTCTGTTGCCTTAGGTGATGTATCAGTGAAAATTCTGCTCCGTATGATGTCCGAAATTTTGTTGCCTACATTTTCTTCTAGAATTTTTATGGATTCACGGGTCACATTTAAGTCTTTTATCCATTTCGAGTTTATTTTTGTGTATGGTGTAAGTTGATGGTCTAGTTTCATTTTTTTGCATGTAGCTGTCCAATTTTCCCAACACCATTTATTAAAGAGGCTGTCTTTACTCCACTGTATGCTCTTGCCACCTTTGTCAAATATTAATTGAGCGTATTGCCTTGGGTCCATTTCTGGGTTTTCAGTTCTGTTCCACTGGTCTATATGCCTGTTCTTGTGCCAGTACCAGGCTGTTTTGGTTACAGTCGCTTTGTAGTATAACCTGATATCTGGTATTGTGATCCCTCCAACTTTGTTCTTCTTTTTCAAGATTGCTGTGGCTATTCGGGGTCTTTTTTGGTTCCATATGAACTTTTGAAGTATTTGTTCTAGTTCTATGAAATATGTCGTTGGTATTTTGATGGGGATTGCATTGAATCTATAGATTGCTTTGGGTAGTATGGACATTTTAATTATGTTAATTCTTCCAATCCATGAACAGGGTATGTGCTTCCACTTTTTTATATCTTCCTCTATTTCTTTTTTCAATGACCTGTAGTTTTCTGCAAATAGGTCTTTTACTTCTTTGGTTAAGTTTATTCCTAGGTATCGTAATTTTTTTGGAGCGATGGTAAATGGGATTGTTTTTTCAGTTTCTCTTTCTGTGAGTCCATCATTGATGTACAAGAATGCCGTCGATTTCTTGACGTTAATTTTGTATCCTGCTACTTTGCCAAATTCAATTATTAAGTCTAATAGATTTTTGATGGAGTCTTTAGGGTTTTCTATGTACAATATCATGTCATCTGCAAATAATGACAGTTTCACTTCCTCCTTTCCAATTTGGATCCCTTTTATTTTTTCTTCATGTCTGATTGCTGTGGCTAAGACTTCCAGTACAATGTTAAATAAGAGTGGCGAAAGTGGACATCCCTGTCTTGTTCCTGTTCTTAATGGAAATGTTTTTAGTTTCTGTCCATTGAGTATGATGTTGGCTGTAGGTCTTTCATATATGGCCTTTATTATGTTGAGATATGATCCCTCTATTCCTACATTGCTGAGCGTTTTTATCAGAAATGGATGCTGGATTTTGTCGAATGCTTTTTCAGCATCTATTGATATGATCATGTGGTTTTTATCCTTCATTTTGTTTATGTGGTGTATCACGTTTATTGATTTGCGAATATTGTACCAGCCTTGCATCCCTGGAATGAATCCCACTTGGTCATGGTGAATAATTTTTTGATGTATTTCTGGATCCGATTTGCTAATATTTTGTTCAGGATTTTGGCGTCTATGTTCATCAGGGATATTGGCCTGTAGTTTTCTTTCTTCGTAGTGTCTTTTTCTGGTTTTGGAATTAGACTTATGCTGGCCTCATAGAACGTGTTTGGAAGTCTTCCTTCTTCTTGAATTTTTTGAAATAGTTTGAGGAGAATGGGTGTTAGTTCTTTTTTGAATGTTCGGTAAAACTCCCCCGTGAAACCATCTGGGCCTGGGCTTTTGTTTGCTGGGAGAGTCTTGATTACCTCTTCAATTTCCTTAGTTGTTATTGGTCTGTTCACGTTTTCTATCTCTTCCGGGAATAGTTTTGGGAGACTGTGTGTTTCTAGAAATTTGTCCATTTCGCTGAGATTGTCGAATTTGTTGCCATATAGTTGTTCATAGTAGTTGTTAACGATCTTTTGTATTTCCGTGGTGTTGGTTGTTACTTCTCCTCTTTCATTTCTGATTTTGTGTATTTGGGTTCTCTCTCTTTGTTTCTTGGTGAGTCTAGCTAAGGGTCCATCTATCTTGTTTATCTTTTCGAAAAACCAGCTCTTTGTTTCATTGATCCTTTGAATTGTTTTTTTGGTCTCTATGTCATTTATTTCTGCTCTGATCTTTACTATTTCCTTCCTTCTACTTGCTCTGGGGTTTTCTTTTTGTTTGCTTTCTAATTCTTTAAGTTGTGAGGTTAGACAGTCAATTAGAAATTTTTCTTGTTTTTTGAGGTAGGCCTGTAGTGCTATGAACTTCCCTCTCAGAACTGCTTTCGCTGCATCCCATAGATTTTGTGTTGTTGTGTGTTCATTTTCATTGGTTTCCAGGAAGTTTTTAATTTCTTCCTTGATCTCCTCGGTGACCCATTCATTGTTTAATAACATGCTATTTAGCCTCCATGTGTTGAAATGTCTTTGCATGTTCTTTGTGCAATTGATTTCTAGTTTCATGCCATTGTGATCTGAGAAGATGCTTGATATGATTTCAATCTTCTTGAACTTGTAGAGATTTAGTTTGTGTCCTATCATGTGGTCTATCTTTGAGAATGTCCCATGTGCACTTGAGAAGAATGTGTATTCTGTAGTTTTGGGGTGTAATTCTCTGTAGATATCTATTAAATCCATTTGGTCTAGTGCTTCATTTAGAGTCTCTGTTTCCTTGCTAATTTTTTGCCTAGAGGATCTATCCAGTGCTGTCAACGGGGTGTTGAAGTCCCCTGCTATGATTGTATTGTTGTCGATTTCTCCTTGGAAGTCCTCCAGAAGATTTTTAATATATTTTGGTGCTCCTATATTGGGTGCATATATGTTTATCAAGGTTATATCTTCCTGTTGGATAGATCCTTTCAATATTATGTAGTGGCCGTCTTTGTCTCTAGTTATGGTCTTCATTTTGAAATCTATTTTATCAGATATGAGAATTGCTACCCCAGCTTTTTTTTGCTTTCCATTTGCTTGGAAAATTTTTTTCCATCCCTTCACTTTCAACCGATGTGAGTCTTTTGTTGAGAGGTGGGTCTCTTGTAAACAACATATAGATGAGTCATGCTTTCTTATCCAATCAGCTACTCTGTGTCTCTTTATGGGAGCATTCAATCCATTTACGTTTAAGGTGATTATTGATATGTACTTATTTATTGCCATTTTTGTTTAGTGTGGTTCTATTTTTCTTCCCATTTCTACTGCTATTTACAGCAGTCCTTTTAGCATTTCTTGCAGTGCTGGTTTGGTGCTAATGTATTCCCTTAGCTTTTTTTTGTCTGGGAAGCTCTTTATTTGATCTTCTATTTTGAATGATAGCCTTGCTGGGTAGAGTAGTCTTGGATTCAGATTCTTGTTTTTCATGACTTTGATTACTTCATGCCATTCTCTTCTGGCCTGTAGTGTTTCTTGTGAGAAGTCAGCTGAAAGCCTTATGGGGTTCCCTTTGTAGGTAACCTGTTGCTTATCTCTTGCTGCTTTTAGGATTCTCTCTTTGTCTTTAATTT